TGTTCATAGTTGCACAAAGTCTATAACATGAAATGGGTCTAAAGAAAACGAGAACAGGTGACCAACTGCGAGGTTAAGCCTCAGTGTCCATAGTAATTAGTTTACTTTTTAACTTCACTACATAATCCCAGGCACACAATCCATCAATTTCAGCTTCGTGTATTATAAAGCACAAAAAATAAATAACTATTGGATTAAACATGGTTGTAAGGAATTTTTTTTTTTAACTTTACCTGAATCGCTGCATGGTAGCAACCGATGGGCTTGTCTACGCCAGGACTGCGTGCAAAAAAAATCAACACAGCAACAACATTATATAAAATGATGATAGATGTGCACTAGTGGCAATTACAACTTTGCATGGAAAAACAAATTTATTGAATATTTCTGGAAACAAAAGACACAACTCGTAACGAAAAAATCGAACAAATAATGAAAGGAAAAGTCACTGAAGTGTATATTGCTTGAACACTGGAAATTTACAAAAGAAAAAAACTCGAACAGGATCTGCCCCCATATACCCAAAAATATCCATTGAGAAACCCTTTGATTCAGCAACCCCAGATGCAGATTTCTTTTCCTACAAAAATCAATTTCGGTAAGAACTATTAGAAAAAAAAATTACAATTTACATAAATTCAAAAGACAAATCCAAAACGGAAAGTGATTACTGAAAAATGAAAACCTGGTGGAATCGGCCCGTTAGGAAAGGGCGATCTACATTCCATTTCGGAGTAGAAGGGCTTGCAACTGCTGAATCCATCGAATTCCTTCCGTAAAATTTTCAAACCCTAAAAAATATTTAATTACAATTTTTTTTCGTAAATTCGTTCACAGATTCACTGATAAATCACAGATATTAAAAGCAAAACACAAAAGAACAGGTTAATTTACCTGAAGAAAATGCTTCCGAGATCTGTGTGGGGAAAATTGTTCTTCCTCGAGAGTGAGAATGGAGCTTTTTTCTCTGAGCTGAATAATTGAATTGCATTTGCAGCTGCCGCACTATTATTTTCAAATATCCATTATTTATTTTTTTGGATAATATTAAATCATATTATATAAGATTAAAAAAACTATAATTTAAAAAAAAAAATAACCATTTACAATACATTTTGTAATTCAAGTGATCAGTTCTTTAACTATTGGACAAAATAATTCAATATGCTTATTTTTATATTAAAGTACATTTTTAAAAGTAATATAATGTTACATAACCAATATAAATTTGTTTAATTTTGAGCTAATAATGTGAAAAAACCAACATGAATCATGATTGGGTTGTGGCTACTTGGATTCCACCAAATTACTCATTATACTTCACCGTCGACATATTTTTTCTTCCAATTATACCCTTATTTATGTATTATTAATATTTAAGACGAAAAAAATATGGAAACGAAGAAAGTAACATCGAGGAAGCTCTACGGAAAAGAAATATGTACTCCACCATGTCTGCCGCCCGTTCACTAGCCTTTCGGAGTCGAGAACCGACGTCGACAGCGCACCACACTAAATAATCCTTAGCCGCCGTCTTTCTTTCATCAGCGTGTGTGTTGAGTGGAAATGGTAAAAAATATTCCGTACTGAAAAATAAGACAAAAATCGGTGCAGAAACTTTGGTTATAATTCAGTATAGGAGAAACTGAGCAACATTAGTACCGAAGATGTCGTCTTCTTCGTTGGAAATGACGAAAATTAAGGTTAGAAATCAATTTCGACGATAAACGAGAATGAGTAAGTATCGAGTATTTTTACTGCAAAGGCGAAAAGTTGGGACGAACATCGACGATAATGGTGGAGCGTCTTCTTCCTCTTGCCTCCGATTTTTTTTTCCTCTTAGTTTCCATTTCGTTTTATTTATTTAATCTTTTTTATTTTATTTTTAATTGTGGAGTTTTTCTTTTTTTATATAGTGAAGTGTATAATTGAAAAAAAAAATATTCAGTCGGAGTAATAATGTACGAATATTATTTTTAGCTATTGGGCTTATTAAAGCCCAATATATGCCAACGGGGCTCATATTTAACCCGAGTCTCGAGAACCCGACCCGTATCAGTTCCATTTTTTATTTTAATTATTATTTATTATTTATTATTTATTCCATCCACTTATCTTATTTAATTTTGGTTTCTGCTGATCACGCTCTTCTCTCTCTCTCTAGAGTCCGACGTTTCTCTCTCTAGATTTCGATCCATTCGCAAGCAATTTTCCGATTACCCGGTCATCGATTCTCCGCAATGCCCACCGATCAAGCCGAAATCACCACCGACGAGGTATGCAATCTCGATGGCACAAACGACGATCTGCGGCATCAGTTTGATAATCACATGTTCACATCATTTGAATTCGGAATTATAACCAAGTTTAATTTTATCATTTTCATCTTTTTTGTTCTCACATTATTTGAAGTCGGAATTATTTGTTGGATTCATTGGAATTTTTTTTGGTTTTTTGTTTTAATTAACTGTTTGATTTTGAATGTTGACTGTGTTTATGTTGTTTCCAAGGTTTTGAGTAGAGATATTCCATGGGAAACTTATATGACTACTAAGCTGATCACGGGGACAGGGCTTCAGCTGCTGCGGCGATACGATAAGAAACCCGAGAACAAGAAGGCTGATTTGCTTGATGATGTACAATTCTTACTGCTATATGTTTACTGTGTTGGATTTTTTTTTTGAGGCATTGGTGCTGAATAAATATATATGTTGCTTTTTTCACAAGAAAGTTGGTCATTTATTAGGCTTGTTTGGGTGAAAATTTTAGCTTGTAATGAATAATTGCTTCGTACTTGATTTTAAAAGATTTGCTCCCTCTGCTAGGATTATGCAACTCTGAACTCAATAGGTTTCACTATGGTAAGGTCTTACAAGTAGGTCAGTTAGTTAGTTGTGATTTTCTATCAATTGGAACCGTGATTTATTGCACTGATGCACACAAGCTGTGGGCAATAGTTAGTTTCATATGTTTGTTGCCGTGGTGTAAGCAAATGTTTCGTTGTAGTTACAAATGATTTTAGGTTCTTATTTATTGTTTTTTGATGATTAAGAACAATAAAGTTGGATTCTGTGAAGGGCTTAGATATAAACATTGCCTGTGTACTTGACCAGTGATAAAATTGTTTCAGGATGGTCCGGCTTATATTCATGTTTTTGTTAGCATTTTGCGTGACATATTCAAGGAAGAAACTGTAGAGTATGTTTTGGCTCTGATTGATGAAATGCTTTCTGGTAAGTTACTTTTCAACATGGGATATAGTTAATTTTTACAATCAAGTAGCTAATCTCTTTTTTTCTCCTTCTTCTGCATGGCAGCAAACCCCAAAAGAGCAAGACTGTTTCATGACAAGTCTCTTGCTGGCGAGGATCTATACGAACCTTTCATAAGGCAATGATCTGCCCTTGATAATTGTTGCACCCTATTGTTATTGCATTTAATTAGGTTTCTTAGTAGAGGCTTTTTAGTTTTTATTATTCTGCTAAAATCTCCTGTAAGTGTTACTCTGGATTCAAATATCCTTGGTCACCTAACAACACGTAGCCCACCCAATATAATTGAAAAACATTATGAAACGAAGGAACCTTGTAAACTTCTCTCACGTCTCAGTACTGTTCTTTATTTAAACTGTAAATTAAACTACTACATATTTTGTGATGTAGTTATTCCACGTCCTTAGAATGATGACAAGCTGACTGGTCACTCTTTTTTCTTTTGCAGATTACTCTGGAAAGGTAACTGGTTTATTCAAGAGAAGAGCTGTAAGATACTCTCTTTGATAGTAAGGTGTGAACTACTCCCATGTCTTTGTCATATGGCCAAATGGTTTGTCTTCTTTGTGACATTCCTACGTTTGTTAATTCCAGCGGAAGGCCAAAATCCCAAGATGCCAATGCTAATGGGGAGTCAAGTTCAAAGCAGACAACCACTACTATAAATGATGTATTGAAGGGACTAGTTGAGTGGTTGTGTACACAGGTTTGTTTTTCCATTCTTTATTTAATTAGTTATGTTCTAGTAGACTCGAAAAGGCGTATCTTACAAAAAGTTGGGTGCTAGTCTGTATTCGTTCTTACTATCAATGCAAATTAGATCTTAAGAATTTCAGTTAGAGGGAATGCTAATGTCAGTGGAAATTATACAAGCAGTCATAGAATTATTCACTTGATGACTAGAGAAATAGAAATCCTAGCAAATAAGCGTATAAAAAGAAGCTGGTAAACTAAGTTCTGAAAGGCATCTACAAATTGTAAATGGTTTGGCCATTGCATAGGTATTGATGTGTGGGTATTTCTTAGTGATGGAATAGTTGTTTAGGTTTCTCGAGCACTAGAAAATAGAAGTTTCAAGATTTCCTGGGAGTCTTATCTAATAACCATTTGCAGAATGATAAAGATAGGAGTACTTTTAGGTGATCCCATTTTTTTAATAAGAAAGAGGCAAAGAGCAAATGGGCTTGTTGAGGTTGGGGCATTTTTTTATTACTTCTTGCTGCTTATAAGCTGACCATCACAAAAAAATGTTGGAAGGTAAATCGTACAGTTATATCGGTGATTAAGGGTATTATCTTCAACTCAATTCAGGAATATATGGGTGAGCGTTGCAATATATTTCTCTTAACAAGGAAACACTTCAATTTTATGTCATTTATCGGCATGAGATCCTTATTCTTACACCTTGCTGCTGTAATTTGATGTCAGTTTATTAGCAAGAGATCCTTACACTTAAACCTTTCTGCTTGCACAGCTGAAGAACCCATCTCATCCCAGTCGTGGCATTCCAACAGCTATTAATTGCCTTGCAACTTTACTGAAAGAGCCTGTTGTGCGATCTTCATTTGTTCAAGCAGATGGAGTGAAGTTGCTGATTCCTCTAATTACTCCAGCAGCCAATCAACAATCCATCCAGGTACTTCATGATTGCTGAATGGAAAAACGTTTAGTTTGTATTCCCAACTTACATATGGGAATCTATTCAATTGTTGTAACGGTTTCTGATTCTTATATATGATCATGGGAAGTTGACATTGGCTTTGTAACTGTTATGTCTGATGTGTTATCAGTATAGCTTGATAACCTTTACTTTTACCTTTGAAACAGCTCCTTTATGAAACCTGCCTTTGTGTATGGCTCCTATCATACTATGAACCTGCAATTGAGTACTTGGCCACTTCTAGATCCTTGCCACGGTTGATTGAAGTTGTTAAAGGCTCGACAAAGGAAAAAGTACGTTTCTTTGTTATTATTTCTTGCAATGAACCTATATTTCCTTTTTAAAATGTCCACCAAGTTTATATTTTAGTCTAATCAATGGTTTACCTTAGTCTCTTGTTATTATTTCTTGATATTAACCTGTATTTCCTATTTTAAATCTTTACTTAGTTTATGTATTTTAGTCAAATCAATGGGTTGCCTTCTTATCAGTTTGATGGTCTGCCGTATCTTCAGTTTATGTATTCCCGAGTTTCTGTGTTGATTTTTCTCTTGTTAAAACTCAAACATGCCTCTGAGATTTCTTATCATCAACTTATGTAGGTTGTCAGGGTAGTTATTCTGACTCTTAGGAATTTGCTGCACAAAGGTACATTTGGTGCTCAGATGGTAGACCTGGGATTGCCTCAGGTTGTTCAGAATTTAAAAGCTCAGGCATGGAGTGACGAGGTATGAAAATATGTTCCTTGCGTCCCTTATATTGGTCTCTTTATTTTTTCCACAATAAAGTGGTAAAATAAACAGGATGTCAGAAAAGGGTTTGTTTATTTCATAACTAAATACAACTGGAATATGGCCGAAGTTCTCTCTTCTGGTGCCTGTATATTCTTTTTCTGCCTGAGCAGCTGTGTATACTTTTAACATGCCAATATTGATTTACATGTGATAATGTTTTTTCATGAGTTAGTATTTCATGGATGTGCAACACAGTATGTTTTAGCAAGAACGGAAATGATGCGAAGTGTCAAGATAATAATGACGAGTGCATGCAGTATTTCATTATTTTCCTTTTTTCTATGGGCTCTTTTTGTCCCTGATTTTTCTGTTTGGGATGTCAAATGACATAAGAAGCTAACTATAGCCTTGTTTTAAGTGGTAAAAAAGAAAATTCTCCTCTTTATAGGCCCTACGTTTGAAGTTCAACTAGTGCTGCAGTTGTACGCTTATTCAATTGCTTTCAGTATGTTGTACTTTACTCAATGCTGACATAGTATATCTTACTCGCAGTCTGTTGTTTCTTTTATGCTTAGATGATTTTCCCAGTACCTTCAAGGCCCTTGATATGTAACTGCCAAACTTGCATTTTTCTTCACAGGATCTGCTGGAATCTCTGAATCAATTGGAAGAAGGAATGAAAGATAACATCAAGAAGCTAAGTTCATTCGATAAGTATAAGCAGGAAGTCCTCCTCGGACATCTGGATTGGTCACCTATGCATAAAGATCTTATATTCTGGCGGGAAAACATTACGAGCTTTGAAGAACATGATTTTCAGGTACCATTCCTTCTTGGCATAAATGTACTACTAGTAATTATGAAACATGTGACTAGATGGTGTGTATGTGCTATATAAGAGGGGAAAAATCTTCAATTATGTTTGAATGTTTTAACAACCAATGAAACGATTTCTATATTACAAACTGCCTTTTACAGACCTCAGACTCCTATATTAGTGTAAAAATAAGTATCTGATGAATGAGCCAATCAAGAAAATAGGTATGAATATGTCAGCTATAGTACTAAAAGTCTAAAACAATGAGGTGGAATTGTCGAAAACGGAAAGCAGTACTTGCCTCAAAAGGTGGTTCAGTTGATGAAGTGTTGAATTCTGAATAAATATCTGAATGGCGAATGGCTACGAGCAGTTTCCGAATATTGAACGTTGTAGCTCGTTCAGATTTTGCAATCAAATGCATCCTAAGAAACTTTCTATTCTTATTCAATTTTTTTTTTCATTCTCCTTCTCGCAATCGATGGTTTTAACTTTTAACACAATTGTGCAGATTCTGAGGGTTCTGATCACAATCTTGGACACATCATCTGATCCAAGAACACTTGCTGTAGCTTGCTATGATCTGTCGCAGTTCATTCAGAACCATCCTGCTGGTCGAATAATTGTGACCGACCTCAAAGCCAAGGATCGGGTTATGAAATTGATGAACCATGAGAATGCAGAGGTTACTAAGAATGCCTTGCTCTGCATCCAAAGGCTCTTTCTAGGTGCCAAATATGCAAGCTTTGTGCAGGTTTAGTTATATATATATTGTTTATTCTAAAAGTTATTGGTTTTTCCATCTAAAATCGTGAGGTTTTTTTTCTTTTCGAAACGGACGGCCGAAGTTTGTGTGTGTATTATTTAATTATTTCAGATCGGGCTGTGCCCATTTTCGTCTGTTGTTAATAGTGATCGATGGTTACTTTGTATTTTTCTTACACACCATCCAATAAGTTGACAATGGTTGCATTTGTTGATGTGATCTGTAATTGTCATGTTATCTTTTTGGGCCAAAATTTGACCTAAATATTTAAGTATTTTTTTTGTATTGATCAATTTTTACCATGTATTTGTTGAATGCACATTTGTGTAGTCTGGCTTAATCTTTCATTATGGAGGCAACTGCTGTCGAAACACTCGTTCGAAGTTCAATTTTCCTAAGCTTGCACTTGAATGAACATATAAACTGTTTTGCATTTGTTTCAACATGTGACGAAAGCAGGAATAATATGAAATAGGGTAAACGACACTCATCGTTCTTTTCGTCTAGTGTAATCGAGGTTAAGTGTAATTGCACATACACCCCATGGTATTTGTTAAACTATATATTATTTTTCAAACATGAGGAGGTCAAACTATAATTACACCTCCCGTGGAGAGAAGAGTAGTTTTAATTTATCCTCATAAATATCTTAAATCATCGGTGAATTACAAGTAGCTCAAGTGCATGAAATGGTGCAAGAATATCGTGAACAACAAAAAACGGAGTCAATGTGCTCTTGAACTAAAAAAAATGAGGTGGACCTGCAAGATTCCACACAGAGGAAAGCCATTCGGCGTATTAAAATAAAACGTGAATCGATACCGATAAAAACAGATCGTTGACGTAAAAACTAAAAGTTCTTCGAAATCTGGGAAAGCCAAAATGCTCTTACCACGATATTACGGATGTTACCATGTGAATGAACGAAGCACATATGTAGGATAAGCATCGTATTTCGTGGCAAGAGAATTAACCGAAGAATCTGTTGCACTTTCTCCAAATTTATCCAATCCAAGTTCACTTGCATGGATCCCACAGGTTACGAAAGCCGAAGATATTCCAGCTGTATTTGCGCCTTTTATATCGTGATGTAGCGAGTCTCCAACAGCAATACAGTCAGCAGCATCTACACCAACCATTTCCATGGCTGATTTATATATGATCTGTTTGCCATACAAACATTTTTTTCACACTAAATCCACTTTTATTACAGTAACATCAATTTTACGCATATTTCAAAAAGCATGTGTCTGAAACATTCAAGTAAAGAATTACCTCACCGGGCTTGCCCATCCACTTCACTTCCCCACCAAGCTTCTCGTATGTAGCTGCCAGTGTTCCTGTTAGAATACAAAAAAAAAAAAAAATGGGTGCCGATTAATAATCAAATTAAGACAAGACGATACTTTGGACAGATTAATAATCGTTTACCAGGCATCACCCGTAGAGCTCTAGCCTCAACGGTAACAAAATCTGGATTTGCTACAACCATAGGAATCTTTTTAACAGCACACTGCTCCAAGATTTTGTTAAGTTCCTCGAGTTTCATCGGAAGTGCATCTCCAGATGAACGCCCCAAGGCTTCAGTACCATGAGCCAGAATAAACTCTGCTTCTTTGACATTATCGACTACTTGGAGCCCTAAGCCCTAAAACAAATATATTTAACCATCAAAAGTCAGCAAATAAGAATTAGGAGGTTACAGAAATATTCCGACACTTTCGTACAAATTCCGGAAATAGAAAATTTGAACATAATACTCGTGATTGGTATTTGAAAATGAAAAACACTACCTATACAACAATTCTTAAATTTTAGAGACTGAAGTCGAAGTGGCAGGCATACTGGAACAAAACGTAGGAAATAAATATCAAGGACAGAAGATTTTATCATTTATCAATTGTTTCCGAATAATCTGAAGGAAGAGAAATCTAATAACATTTGATCAAGAAACGGTGAGAGTGAAAAGGTTAGCTTGAAAATCAATTAGTTTAAGAAAACATTTTAGCATACCTCAAGAGATATAGCACCCCGATCACTCCAGGTCATGTGAATGCAGGAGCTTCCTAGTCCAGCAAACCATGGATCGTCTCTCCTGTTTAAAACAATTTCCTAATAAATAATCTTTTGGCTAAACAAATAAAAAATAAATACGACCTTTTTGGCCACTTAAGGTTTCAAATCATGCTAACAAAGTTCATCCGCTGTACTATTCCTCAGCATAATAGTTGAAACATTTAGACTTGAGAATTTTTATGAGGAAAAAAACAATAACATGTCGAGAAAACTGCAAAACCCACCAACTAGTCATTAGGGTCATTAAACGTGAAACATGTGGTTGATACGTACATGCTAAACTTGGAAGTTATAATATTGAATTTGTAAGACAAAGTCGGGATAATTAATCACCCTCCTTAATTTCTGCAACAGCAGTATTCTCAAGTAGAATATGCAAAGGAGTACGATTCAATGCATTATCCACTATATTTACGCCCAAGCAGAATTAACATCAGAACAGTTTGACAACAAAAGTAAGAATGACTAAGGCATGTCGTGTTAGCCCCGAAGTATAACTCAACTTAGTACATCAAAGAAATTGAAATTAAAAAAAGAAAAAGAAAAAATAAATTCAAAAGGAACTTCTACAATTGCAATATAAATAAAATTTATTCGAGTCAACTGTACCTCAGAAGGTACTGGTGAGTTAACTCCCCACTGGTAATGGCTCCCAAAAAGAGAGACGGATTAAACCCAAGGCTACCCAACTTCTCGATGGTTGTTGATGCACGCCTCGAGGAATTACTTATGACCACCATCTTTGCACCACAATTCGCCAGCTTTTCTACTGTACTCGAATGCATACATAAAGATAGCCACAAAAGATAACAAGATCTTAAGTCGATTTTGCCAGTAAAGTTACAGAGATAATAGTTATTGACAAAAAAAAATCAACCTTACCAAAATGCGAAAGCTAACATTTGAAAACATACATGTAGTGACGGCACCTGGGTATGGCTGCTTCCCGTCATGTAGGACTCCAAACTGATCCAAGAACCATGCCTGCTCCCATGTCATCATAAAACATAAATTAAAATAAATAAATACACCATTCCACGAGTTTTAACTTAAATACTAATTTTAATTTTTAAATATAGATGACATTGGCTTTAACATATTTACCGAAATCATTAACAGATACCCCAAACACGAAGCCAAAGCAAGTAAAAAAAATAAGCATTCTACTATTTCGATTTTCGTGTGCTCTGCCTCACTTGACAATCAAGTAAAATAGCTATGCTTCTAACGTAGTGTTTGCAAAAGCTTATTTAAAAGCAGAAGTTATGGATTGCGAGTTAAGTTGATTTTAAGTGTTTATTTCTAAAAGTTGGGGTTGTTAACAAACTTACTGGAAAATCAAATTAAACAGAAAAAAATAGGGTCATCAGTGCTTAACAGATTGTAGCTTAAAATTACTTATTTTAAAAGAAGCAAAAGCAAAAGTTCTTAAAAATAGATTGAGAGCAAAAAAAAAATCTAATTAATCACAAACACAATACGGTAACCAATTGAATTGGATTGCAAAACGCACAACTGAATAATAAAATTAAACCTAGAAAATCAAAAGGAGCATCATAAATAAATAAAAAAAAAAAAAAAAAAAAAAGTATCAATTACATGATTTCGACGGAAAAAAAAAAACGAAAGTACAGCAATACCTTGAATCGGCGAGATTCAGCGAGGTTTTGCAATCCTTTTATGGTCTGAAACGACTTCGTTTCGCTCGGATTTGCCGACGGGATCGACGAACAGCATCTTCCCATCATCTTTTGTGCGTGTTTTCGAATGGGAGTTAGTGTGTGTACTGTATACGGTAGACTCGAGTGTAGTAATTTCATTTCGAGGCTATTATTTTAGATGTATATCAATATGGTCCACCTTGTTTCGATTTATTATCCAATCATCCTAAATATATGACCGCATGTCATATGGTCAACGACCCACTTAATCCGGTCAACTATTTGTGTTTTTTTTACAAGGGGGTCAACTATTTGTCGACTCAAAATAAGAATTGGTTTTTAAGCAAATGGGTTACGTATATGGAAAAACGGTGGGTGAATTTTGATCGTTGATTTATACACGCCATTGTGGATGTTTTTGTTATATATGTTTGATGATGCTAGAGTTAGATCACTTTAGAAAGCTGTAGTAGGATGAGATGGAAGAGCAAAGTGGATCACTGGCTCACGAGCTTGATGACCTTGAGATACCTGTGATCATAGAACACGTGAACTAGGCCGGGGGATGATGCAGCGGAAACCCCTCCGACACTCAAGTCAGACGTGCGGATAATGAAAATAGTCCATATAATACAGTTGGTAGTATTGCTTAGATAATAGCACGTACCTTAAGGAATGAGTTCAAATATTTATTTATACCCTAGTTGAGATTGTCGGGCCTAAACCTCAAACCTTATTTGAAGTGTTTGGGCATCGGTGGTAGTGGTTTTCAATATTGGACTCGTGGACCAGTAGGTAAATAAATTATAGGCCCATTAAGTTGACTCAATTAGACATATCAATGTTTATTCAATGTATTTCACCTGATGTAAAATAATATAAACTAACAGTAAATGACTTAGTTAAAAGTTGAGTTTTCCCGACTTGGAAACCACCAATTCAAATCCATCGATTTAATTTATATTTTTCATAACTAAACAATTGTTTTTGTGAATATGTCCTAAATTAAATTTAAATTGGAATCGTGAAACATTCTAAAATTCATCGGTCCATATAGCGATCGCACGAAGAGATTTAAATAACTTTCAGTAATGTCACTCACACGCGCTCTTGATTGTTAAATTTAGCATAGTTCATACATTTTAATATAGGGTCTATTAGATATAACCCCCTTAAACATTCAAATAATAGGGGTAGACCCAAATTTAAATTTGCCATTTTGATAAAAGCCCAAGCTTTTCGTAATTACATAATTACCCTCAATCAAATCCCACAAATCCCGTTACTTTACCTTTTGAAATAATATCAAATTACTTCCTATTTTCCCGTTAACACACTATCACCCCAAAACCTACTATCAAATAAACTGCAAAAACCTCCCAGAACCACTTCTCGGTACGGCCGATCGAAAGGGGAAGAAATCTGCACTGCCGTGAAACGACGATTTTCGTGGACTCCGAGCAAGCCGCCGTAGGTACGTCTTCGCCGGTCGCTACATCGCTATCGTCCATCGATTTGTTCATATGTTTTGGCTAAATCGACTATCACGTTTGTATAATTGCAGATCTGTTATAATCGCATACCGAATTCGAGCACTAAATCATTGATATTGCAACAATTGATGGGCAGGACATCCACCAGAAGTGATATCGTCGTTGGCCGCCGTCGTCGTCGCCGTCACTGCTCCAATCTAGGGTTACTCAAATCTAGGATTACTCAAATCTAGGGTTTTGATAATTCTTCGGCCCATAGTTGATTAACGAGATGCATAGTCGAATTACATCTGTATTAATATACTATCCCATATCATTTAATAGACTATCCCACTGGTATAATTTTACTATGGATCTCGTTAATCGACTATGGGCCGAAGAATCATCAAAACCCTAGATTTGAGAAGTGACGGCGGCGGATTTGTGTTTTAAAATTAATAGACTATCTCTAGATTTGAGAAGTGACGGCGGCGGATTTGTGTTTTAAAATTAATAGACTATCTCATATCTTTTAATAGACTATCCCATGTATCTTATTCGACTATGGGTTTAGTTAATTGACTATTGGAAAAATAATAATATATATGGAAACTGAATAATATGTTTGTTTGAAATACTTATCAATTAGGGTAATTTTCCTTATTATATGAAAACGATTAGGGTAAATAATAATATATATGAAAAAATAATAATATATATGGAAACTGAATAATATGTTTGTTTGAAATACTAATCAATTAGGGTAATTTTCCTTATATCATGTAATATACTATCTTATTGATCTAATTCGACTATGGATCTCGTTAATCGACTATGGATTTCGTATTATTCAACCACATAGTATATTAATAATTTCAATATAGTACATTAATCTGCTATGTATATTACAGTTATAGTAGTGATATGAAATTGTGTTACAAACAATATACCACTGAAATGACAAGAACATTGAGAACAACACCAACGTAAAGTATTCCACATAACCAATAAAATAGTACATTAATAATCTCATAATTTCAATCTAGGGTTTTGATAAAATACATAAAACACATCATAACACAATCAAACCAATATGTCGAGTTAAAAAACTCTAGTACATTAATAATCTCATAATAGTATAATAAAATGATAATGGTAGTATCATACGGTATTCATAATAGTATACTACTGTATTACAACGGTTTAACACTTAACCGAAGTTACCGAGCCATTACATCGTAAACACCTCATTATAGCAACCAACCCACCAAACCTCAACAAAATCCGTACGAAATTCGCCATCGAAAAAACCTAAAATCATGAAACAAAATTAAAAATGCAGAATACTAAAAAATGATTAAATAGACTGCAAATACATTTGAATGATAATACATTAATATCATCAAAAATAAACTTAAAATGCAAAATCCATACGCTAAATTAAAAAAGACTACGAACTATATTGCTGGAACGATGAAGAGAATCTTCAAAAAATATTGTACACGATTTGATTTAATGGCCAATGATCTCACGTAAATTTATTCCGTGATTTTAGGCAACGTATCAGCAAATCTCAAATCACGTATTAAAGGAAATAAATGCCGTTTAATAATAAAACAGGGGTATTAAAGGGAAATTATATAATATATTTTGCCAAGTTGGCAAAATTGGGTGTATCTCAAAAAGGGGAAAAAAAATTGGATCTACCTCATTAGAAAATATGAACAAGGGGGTTATCCCTAATAAACCCTTTAATATATTTATCCCTTCATATTTTTTTTTCTCCATACTATCATTCTTTTAAAATTTAGTGATTCAATAATTTAAATATTTTTCGATTTTACCTTTATGATTTTATCTATGTCAAACATTAATTCTCTTATCCGTGTATTTACCTTCATAATATTTTTATTTTTGCCCCACACTATTGTTGTGTTTATAATTTAACAATGCATTAATTTATATCTTTTTTGATTTACCTTTACAACTCTATCGCTCGTTTATATCCTTTTTAAGTTACATTTACAACTCTATCGCTCGTTGTCAAACACTAATTCTCTTAGCACCATATTTAATGTGAACGAGTATTTAATTTTTATGGGCAAATGGCAAATAGGCCCATCACATGGGACTTAAATGCATTTTAGTCCAAAAAAAAAAACAGTCTCTCAATTAAGCCCATCCCCATGTCTTTAGTCTAAAATACCCTCAATAATATAATTCTTATCAATTCCACCCATTATGCTCTTACTTCCTTAATATTACACATTGACCCCGGATTTAAACAAATATATCACATTAACCCCCAAAACTTTTTTTTTCAGAAAATAATTTTTTTTCTGAAATGTTTTTTTTTCCGGCCAGATTCCGGGATTGACTTTTTTTTTTTTTTTTTTTTTTTTGAAATTTCTTTTTCCTGATTTTTTTTTTCCGGCCGGTCAACCACCGTTGACCGCCGGTCTCCGGCGTTGACTTTTTTTTTTTTTTTTTTTGAATTGTTTTTCTTAGAAAAAAAATATTTTAATTAATATTATTGTTTTAACTACTAAATTACTGTCTCAGACAGTAATATTACTGTTTGGTACAGTAATATTATGAATATTAGTTTTTCCGAACAGTAATAGTATGAATATTATTTTTCCGAACAGTAATATTATTAATATTATTGTCTAAGACAGTTAAATTATTGTTGAAGACAGTAATTTAGCATCTAAGGCAGTACTGTTAATTAAAATATTTTTTTTTAAGAAAAAAAATGAAAAAAAAGCCAATTAACAGTTAAATTACTGTCTCCGACAGTTAAATAACTGCTGGAGACAGTAATTTAGCAAACGAATACAGTAATATTAATTAAAAATATTTTTTTTAAGAATAAAAAAGTCAATTAACAGTTAAATCACTGTCTCCAACAATTAAATAACTGCCGGAGACAGTAATTTAGCAACGAATACAGTAATATTAATTAAAAATATTTTTTTTAAGAATAAAAAAGTTAATTAACAGTTAAATTACTGTCTCCGACAGTTAAATAACTGCTGGAGACAGTAATTTAGCAACGAATACAGTAATATTAATTAAAAAAAAATTGAAGAAAAAAAAAAAAGAGTCAATTAACAGTTAAATTACTGTCTCCGGCAGCTATTTTACTGTCTCCGACAGTTAAATAGCTGCCGGAGACAGTAATTTAGCAGCCAAGACAGTAAAATTAATTAAAATATTTTTTTTAAGAAAAAACAAAATTATAAAAAAAAAAAAAAGTCAACGCCGGAGACCGGCGGTCTCCAGCGGTCAACGCCGGAATCTGGCCGGAAAAAAAATATTTCAGAAAAAAAATATTTTCTGCAAAAAAAAAGTTTTGGGGGTTAATGTGATATATTTGTTTAAATCCGGGGTCAATGTGTAATATTAAGAAAGTTAGAGCATAATAGGTGGAATTGATAAGAATTAGGGTTAAAATTGGGGTCAAAATTGAAATTAAAGGTAAAATTGGTTAATTGATGAAATTGGGCTAAATTGGGGTGTAAATCATGAAATTAGAGTTAAATTGGGTTTCAATGAATTGGGGGTAATTTTGGTATATATAAAGGGATTTTCCTTATTTGCAAATAAGTTTGAATGGGGTGGATTTATTTGAAAGACAAAAAAGTTGGATGTCCCTCTTTTAATTAAGTGCCTTTGTCATGGGCCTATTTGCCATTACCCCAATTTTTATTAAATACATTTTCTAAATTTCAAACTTATTTAATAAGTTTCTTAATATATAGAGTAGTAAGTGTTCACTTGTCATTAAATAAGTTTCCATATTGAAGTTTCACATCTTACAAATCTAAGGGGGTAAGTTAAGCATAGAACTTCAATAAATTAATATGCGATAAATTAATAACCTAGCGTAAATAATAGTTTCTTTTGGTCATGACTATGTAGAAACCTACTAAATTATTATTTCGATAATTTAATATTTCGTTAAATTAATAGAATTTTGTTAGTTCCGGCTAGGGGTGCAAGTTGGAACGGATTTTCCAATTTCCGCCGGTTCCGATCCGAAAATTTCCGATTTTGGAACAACTTTTTTCATTCCGACTTCCGAAATTCCGATTTCCGAAAATTTCCGAATTTTTTGGATTGGAATTGGAATTATATAAAATAAATTTGGAATTTCCGATTTCCGATCCGATTTAATTCCGAAATATTCCGATTTTTTTCCTAAAAATATACCTATAAATAGTATATATTATATAATACTTATTTTCCGAAAAATACACCTATAAGTTTTGTTTTAGGATTTTGACATAATGAATTGTTGTTGGAAGTTTTATTTGATATTATGATGTGTTTATTTTTATTTATTTTTTTGAACTGAAATTTAGTAGTTATTAATTTTACTTTCATCGACATGGATGCTCTTATTTTTGAAAAATTATGAATATTTTAGAAAATTTCGGCTAAGTTTTGAAATTTTAAATACTTATGTGATTTCCGATTTTTTTCCGAAATTCCGAAATTTCCGGGCCTTTTGGAATTGGAATGAATTTTTAGATTCCGAAATTTTTGGAATTGGAATTGGAATTGATTTTGTACTTCCGAATTTTTTTGGAAATTTTCCGAAAAGGTTAATTCCGATCCGATCCATCCGACTTTCACCCCTAGTTCCGGCAGTATTAATCTATAGATGTTTAACTATTATTTGTTTGATGGGGCTTTTTTGCGCAAACGGTATAACATAGGGGAGGAAAATGTAGTTTACGGAAAATACTTTCAACAAAATGATAAAGTGAAAGATGACGTCAGCAGATATCAGAGTTGATCCACACACTTCCAATCCAAACCGTCCATAAGCTGATCCAACAACGAATCTCAGCCGTCCATTTCCCTCAGACGATTGATTGACTTTCCAAAGGTTCTAAAACTACAGGCGCTTTCCCTTTTAAACAACAAAGAGTAAGAAAACTTCGCCCACACAGAAACTCAAATTCCACCATCAATTTTTTTTTCTTTCTTCTTCCACTCGCACAATTCGCTCAAATTGTCACTTTCTCTCTCATCCCCACACCACTCTCTCTCTCTCTCTAATTTTATACGTGCGGATCGATTTGTGTGTGTATGCGTCTGGGAGCAAGCAAGCAGTTCGCAGTTGTTTGTGCTTCGATCTCAGCTGGAATTGAAGCTTTCTCGCCTTAGTTCTGGTTTATTTGAATATTTTCAGTTTGTTAATTGTTTGTGGGTGTTTGAGGAAAGCATTAATTTGTTAGGGCTCGTGGTTCAGTTGTGGATTGGTAGCTGTTTATGCATAATCTAGGGTTTTGGATTTTCGGGTCTTGTTCGAAAATGGGAGATCAATGGGGGTTTCGCTTGGTTTCACACGTGGGTCCTGATTGAAGTGAAAAGATTCGTTTTTTTTTTCTTTAAATTAATTTATCAAACCTCGAACGTGTTTTAAAAAAAAAAAATTCCGTTCTAGGGTTTTTTTCTGGAGAAGTGAGTGTGAAGGATATAGCAACTGATTTGAAGTAATTTTCTTGTTATTTGGTCGTGGGTGGGTAATTGAAAGAGGGGACTAGAAAGAAAAAAAATGTTTTATTCGCAATTTATATTAGCTAAAAAGGGGCCGCTGGGTACCATTTGGATTGCGGCGCATTTAGAGCGGAAGCTTCGCAAGAATCAGGTGGCTGATACTGATATAGGAGTGTCTGTAGGTAATTAAACGTTTCTTCTAATTATTTACTATTATTTATGCCGTTCTTTTCATGCTTATTATCTTGAATTGATAATAGAACCGTTGTACAAAGCCTTACTTTTTGTATATAGCCGTTGATGCAGTATGGTTGGAGAAGAATATGTTTTATTGTAAACTAGATTTGAGTTTTACTGAGCATGCATTAATGGCAACACCATTAAGAGCATTACTAGATCCATAGTTTCAGAAGAAAAAAGGAAAAAAGATCCGTTATTAACTTTTACTTTCAAGTATTGAACTTCTTCAAAGGCATTAATTATGGCTTCATTAAAGTCGAGATTGACTAGTTTCCCGTGCTTGAAGGTTGATTTATACTTAGATTTAATGTGGAGATAGGGAGTGTTTTGCAGTGAAAAATGAACCTATACAAAAAAATTGGTGTTCGTTTTCATGTTCTGCATGCTGAGTTGGCGATGCTGTCATCACCATTACTTATCGAATTTAATGCTGTTTTTATCCATAAAGATTGGTGTTCGTTTTCATGTTCTGCATGCTGAGTTGGCGATGCTGTCATCACCATTACTTATCGAATTTAATGCTGTTTTTATCCATAAAGATTAAATCATTTGGACTTTCCTCATCTATAAAGAATATTTTTTAGCCTTATTCAAACTAATCTGGTTTGTCTTGCACAGACTCGATTCTTTCCCCCGATGTGCCTATTGCACTTAGGTTGTCCAGCCATCTTCTGCTCGGCGTGGTGAGAATTTATAATCGAAAGGTGAACTACCTCTTCGACGATTGCAGTGAGGCTTTGCTCAAAGTTAAGCAGGCTTTTCGCTCTGCTGCTGTGGATTTACCTCCAGAAGAATCTAAGGCACCGTATCACTCTATCACCTTGCCTGAAACATTTGATCTCGACGATTTTGAACTGCCAGACAATGACCTTTATCAAGGGTTAGTATGAAATTTATGTCACACCTTACCTGGGAAAGCTATCCTATTTCTTGAATTTTTTGTTTGCACTTTATAATGCTAGTTACCTTTTAATGGCTTTAAATATTTGTGGGCTCGTTAGACTTTAGATCTGTTGGTTATATATATGTGCACAATGCAAGAATCGGTTTATTTCCAGGTAATCTTACAGGGTTACCGGAATCTTTTGATGCTCATAAACAAGTTAGCTTGTGTTTTCTTACATGTTTTCACATTGGAAGTTTGGAAGAGATGGTGCAATATGTTATATTTCTAGTGAATGAGTCTATTTTATTTGTCTGACATTCCGACTATTGATTCTGCAGTAACTTTGTGGATCATCATATTAGTTCGAGAGAGCAAATCACCCTTCAAGACAACATGGCGAGCGTCAGTTACTCCACATCAAAGTTTGGCTTCGATGGTTAGTGCTGTTCTCATTTATTGAAAAATTGAAAGATTTGTGTAACTTCTATTGCTTATATATGTGTAATATGATGCTTGTAAGTTTATTCGTTTTTTCCTAATGCTGCTGTACTGTTCTCCAGAGAGATTTGGCGATGGTGACACTTCTGGTCTGGACCTTGATGAGGTATTTTACTCGATTGATTATGTCATTATCTTCTGTTTTCTTCGTTTATGTTGCAAAGCTGCAGAATCTGACCCTCTTCTTACCATTGTGTTACACAACTGAAACAGAGAGCGACAAACTTATTTTTGTATGTTATTATGTACTAAAGAATACTGACTAGTTTTTTTTTTGTCACTAATCAATTGAATACAGGAATTATTTCTGGACAAGGTTGACGCTGTAGGGCATGACAATGAGAGGTTACACTCGCATTAAACTTTCTATACTTCGAATATTAACAGTAATCATATTTCATTGTGATGCAAATCGTGTGTGTGTGTGTGTGTGTGTGTGTGTGTGTGTGTCATAAATTTAACCTGTCTCAAGATATGTAGCTACATTAGGTCATTAAATTCTCTGGTTGGGTGTGATGTTCGTTTTTCTAATTCACTTATTGATACGTGTAAATAAAGAACATCATCAATCAGATTACTTCTAGCTATTAAAGTTTGAATCTTGAAATTATCTGTGCTGTGCTGATTTGTCACTCTTATGTTTTTTTTTCCCAGGTCTTCTCCTCAAACCTCTGCCGGATTAATGACCCCTCTCGAGCAAGATGAGCACCCTGAAACCAGTACTGTCAATTCAAGAGACAAGGTAGTTGCATCATCATAGTACTGTCCAGTAATATGTTTGATCACATTTTATATTACTGTTGCAATATATCTATTTAATGAATATTGTAATCTTGAATACGCAGGTTGCTGGTGTTAATGAATATGCTGATCTAATGGAGTATGCACAGGCTCCAAGTACGCCTGGACTAGTTGAAGAACCAAACTTAACCAATATTAAAGAGGTTTCAGCGTGTGACGACCATATGGAATTGGAATATAGTGCAATGGAATGTACCGTGACAGAAAGTGCAAAAAACACTACTTATGAGGATAATACAGACTCTGATGCAATTCCTATGGTGCTAAACAAAGAGTACGAGGATGTCAATCTTTCGGAACGACAGGCACAATCTCCTATTGAAGCTAAAATGGAACATATTTCAATGGACGAGCCCGATTCTGATTTATTAGGTCAAATTAAAAACCCATCTTCGGAATTGGCTGATAAATCAATTGACACGTCTGATATTCCATGCATGGAAGATTTACAGGCCAACAAAGATGAGAACGTCTCTCTCGATGTTTCTGTCGCAGAAAAAGATCAAGGATTACTTGGGGTTGAAGTTGCTGATATTTTGGAAGTTGCAAGTGATCCTCAATTATGTCCAGATGCATTGAATTTATCTTCGAAAAACCAAGATGCATCTTTCCCAGAGGAGGCTGAAACTCTGGTCTTTCAAGAACCTATAATAGATTCGAGCTCGTTGAACCTTGGTGTACTAGAAAAAGATGCACCTAATGACACTCCTTTTCTCAGGGCATGTAATTCCAAAGTGGAAGAACATGATATAATTTGTGGGTCTGTTGTGTCAGCTGATGCTGACGTGGAATCTGATGTTGCTGTCTTAGCAACTTCTGGAAGGGAGACGACGGTAATGCTAGGTTTGTCTGTCAAGCTTTAAACTTGTTCATGTTGGAAAATCAAATAAAGCACATTTTTTCTGTCTGTATATTTGTCTGATCAGCTAAAGCACATTTCTCAACAGATAACCCAGAAGAAATTCCAAAGGAAAATCAAATACAAGAGCACACATCACAAGAAGATGTTCATGCAGTTTCCGACGAACCCGAAAATGCAAATTCAAATGCGGAAAATCTAAATAATTCTGCTGCCCCTGAAAAGATGTTGTCGGTACCAGAAGGCCCTTCTGATTTACACATAAACATGTTAGTTGAGAATACACCAGGAGTATTTACTGGATTTGATGAAGGTGATTCCGTGAGCAAAATAGTTTCAGGCAAGAAACGTAGTTTTACTGAAAGTACTCTGACGGAGCAGAGTTTGAATTCGGTTGAATCTTCGAGACTGGTTCGTTTTAAAAGAACAGTTGAATCAGTTCCTGATGATGATGACTTATTGTCCTCCATTCTAGGTATTATATCAGACATTTTTTTTTTTACTTGTTAAGAAATCTGTCTAATGGTTCTTCCATCGAACGCTTTTTCTGATTTGAATTGAATATTGATTCAGTTGGAAGAACTTCGGTTTTAAAATTGAAGCCGACGCCTCGTCTCTCTGAGGTGACGTCTATGAAACGTACGCGTTCTGCTCCTCGTACTGGAGCTCCCAAAAGAAAAGTGCTTATGGATGATATGATGGTTTTGCATGGAGAGTATGTTATATCTTTTTTTTTTTAACAATTATTTTTCTTAAAATTTCTCTTGGCCGAGGCTTTTATTATCATTAAAATGTTTTCTTTTCTTGATAGCTCGATAAGGCAGCAACTGACAAACACTGAAGACATACGTCGTGTAAGAAAAAAAGCCCCTTGTACACTCCCTGAAATTTCAGTGATTCAGAGACAATATTTGGAAGATGAAATTTTTCTTCAACCAATATTTACCGGTGAGTTGTTAATCCGTTGACACCACTCTTTCTTGAATATATTTTCCATACAACTACCAAACTTTGAAATTTATCTTGTAGAGGGATGCATATTATTTTCGGTTTGATTGTTTGTGATGTGTTTTGGCATCATTTAACTCGTGTGCTTATTTTTCAAGATCTAATTTCACAAGTGATGAATTAATGTACCATAAGCTCGTATTTGTAATATAAGTTGTTTGTAGAATTGTGCTAACTATGCATTGAGCTTTCTTCGAATTCTTTGAAATGATAAGGCATGTAGTTTTTTGACACCTACTTGTCTCGCTCTAATGATCTTGTCCTTTTTCTCTTAGGAATGTCGATTGAATTGGTATCCTTGCACAGTAAAACTCATGATTTAAGTAGAATCACAATCTGCAAGAGCGATCCAATTGTTGCTCCTATCGAAACTGTGGCCGAACCAAGTCCACCTTCTGAAAATGTACCTCCAGAAAAAGACGAAGATGTTGTTCACGCTGAAATCATAAATGAAACCGTGTTAACTTCTCATGATGTCCAGAACGAAGATTCTCATGCAACTGCTACTGAACCACACTTAACTTCCGAAAATGCTGAAATTGTTGAGAGTGAGGATTTAGAAAGTGGAGTGAGGATAACAAATGAGCTTTTAATAGGCAGAGATAGTGAGGTGGCAGATCAGAATCCTATGGACGAAGTTGACGAGATGAACGTAGAAATTAATACGAGTGAAGAACAGATAAATCCGACCAGTGATATGGTGGCTGAAATTTCACAGGAAGAGCTTTTGTTGGTTGTAACTGGAGAGGAAACGAGGCCGGAAAATGACGATCCGGTTAATTCTTCGATTATTGGAGAGCCCAGTGAGACAAACCCGTGTGCGAATGTCGGAATGCCAGCTGTTCCAAACGATGAAAAGATGGAACTGCCCTCTGCTGAGTTGGATTCTACGACGATGTATTTTGACAGCACGTACGAACTTACAGACAAGGATGGTGATGTTATTACTGCTGCAGTTGAGACTGAGCCCGTAGTAAGGGATGATGATGTTGAGCCATTATCAAATGCCAAAGATGGAGAGTTGGAGAATAAGGAGCTCAATGAAATGTATAATGTTATGTCTGAACAAGACGTGTCGTCTTTATTATATCCAGCACAAGTAGGTGGTCTGAACGAGGATGATTTTATGAACAATGGTGAAAATCAAGAACAGACAGAAGCTTATCAAGGCTATGGTTTTGATCTGCACAATCAAGAGGTGAGTTGTTTCCTGATTTTCGCGTACCTATTTTTCAGTTAGCATGGAATTTTGATAAATTAAAAATATCTTAAATCTTTATTATCAAATAATAAAGATTTTCGAGGTGGCGTAAAGCTGCCATTTTTCGAGGTTGAAGAGGTGGCATGGGTTGTTGTTGTTACTTAATTTTGTCTTTTTTTCCTGCATAAACAGGATTTGGAGTATTCTGCTGCTGGAATCGACACAGGTTTACTTTCCATCTTTCAAATTACATTCTCTTGACATGAATACATAAACAATTTTGAGGCTAAATTTATATTGCGTTTAGAATGCTTCTCGACTTAAATCTTTCGGAATTTTCAATCTTTCGTGACAAATTTCTGTTTGAGATTACAGAGTTTCTTAATGTTGATGATGATGAACTAAATGAAGTAGCCGATGATGATAATATTCCCGATAATGAAGAGGCTCTATTCACTTCCACCACTGGCTGGTCTTCACGTACAAGGTATATTCTATTCCATTAATATCTTTTTTTTTTTGTAGATTATTTTACTTATTTATTAAAGAAGCCATAACATTCTTTGGAAGTTTCACACAATAAACTTTTTGTGAGGGTCATTAGTAATTCTTTGAGAGTAGCGCCAAATTTAATAACTTCGTCCCCGTGTTATTAATATTAGCAAAAACCCCTTGGTAGTCTTTTTTTTTTCCACACAACCCCCTAAACAGTGAGTTTTTAGGGGATTGTTTGCTAAAAAATTGCGTTCTAGGGGGGGGTTTTGCTAATATTAATAATACAAGGACTTGTTTAACAATTAGAGTAAATACAGAGGTGCTGGACGCAATAAACGAACAACTGATTATTTCGGGTCTTTTTCTGCAGGGCTGTTTCTAAGTATCTTCAGACATTGTTCGTCAAAGAGGCAGAACGAGGGAGGAAATCTCTTTCTATGGAGAATCTCCTAGTCGGTAAATCACGCAAGGAAGCATCTAGAATGTTTTTCGAAGCACTGGTATTTTTTTGTCCAACTCTTCAAATCATTCCATTATTAGGCTTTAATCGTTTAAAATAATAATAATTATAATTATTATTATAAAAAATGTTTCAGGTTCTTAAAACAAGAGACCACATTCATGTAGAGCAGCAGACACCCTTTGATGACATCACCATAAAACCTCGTTCGAGGATGATGAAATACGACTTCTGAATGTCCGAGAGGAAGCAGGGATGTATTCTTTTGCGAAGTTAGGTTTTTAATTCTTTTTCCAGGTAATATAAAATATGCTATCGAAGTTTATAGGCGACGAATTAAGTAGAGTTTGTAACTTATATAACTTATAATATGTGTAACTTGTGGAGTTGGTGGTAGTAGATTGGCTATGGTACAAAAAATTGTAGTGTAATAATCGCAGATCCTACGTGTAATTGTATGTATATATCGAGCATTTAAAATTATATATTTCATTTCTACATATTCGAAACTGGTTCTTTTGTTGTTTCTCCGATTCTCGTAAATGGTGAAATTATCCCATGTGTCCATTTTCTATTTGTCGGGATATTTTATTTTATTTTATTTTTTATGCCTGAATATACTTAGATTTCAAAGAACATTCTCGGATTTTGGTTGGTTTTTGAAAAATTCAAATATGTAATTTTTTATTTGTGTAAAAGAAATACAGCAGATACTTGATAAAAACGTATTAAATTATTAATTCAAATGTTAGGTGGAATTAGATAAAATAATAAATAAAAAGAGAATTTTGAAATTTTAGATTAAAAAATATAATAATATTTTAAGAGAAACCAATAAATGAAAATCTGGCAATTTGATATTTTACAATAATATAATATTTGCCCGTTGCACTTTTGCTCTTTTTCTGTTTCAATTTCAACTCAACGGTCGAATTTGCCAAATATGACCGTTAGCAGAGCCTCCGCCACCACTATATATATTCCAAAACCATCTCCCCCATTTTCACACAATTAAACTCTCTCTCTCTCTCTCTCTCTCTCTCTCTCTCTCTCTCTCTCTCTCTCTCTCTCTCTCTCTCTCTCTCTCTCTCTCTCTCTCTCTCTCTCTCTCTCTCTCTCTCTCTCTCTCTCTCTTTCTCTCTCTTCAAATGGGGTTGTCGATCGGCTCTGGCGACGGCGACGGCGAGTCCACACGCACACACAAGGTCTTCCTACTAACCAACTACCTCCTCCTCGGCGCCGCCTCAAGCTGCATCTTCCTAACCCTCTCCCTCCGCCTCATCCCCTCTCTCATCGGCTCCCTACTCGTCCTCCTCCACATCATCACCATCGCCGGCGCCGTCTCCGGCTGCGCCGCTGCCTCCCGCGGCGGTGGCTCCAAGTTCTACGGCGCACACATGGTGGCCACCGTCCTCACCGCCATCTTCCAGGGCTCCGTCTCCGTATTAATCTTCACCGGACCTTCCGACTTTTTGGGACACCTGAAATCGTACGTAAGGCTGGAAGACGGCGTCGTGATACTGAAGCTCGCCGGCGGACTTTGCGTCGTGATATTCTGCCTCGAGTGGGTGGTGCTGACGTTGGCTTTCTTTTTGAACTATTATGCTTACGTGGAAAAGAGGGGCAATAATGGAAATAACAATAGTTATGGAATGAAGAGTGGCAGAGTTCAGGATGAAGATGATTTGAAGACTTTGCCCTGGCCTGTTCAGGTCTAATAATTCTAAATATGAAAGTATATTTATTTAATTTTTTGGAAATTTTGAAATTTGTATTGGAATTCTTTTTTAATGTATATCGATATTGTTTTATTTTATTCATTTGTAATGTGAGGATATATTCTTTATCGTGGAAGGATTAATCCAAAATTATTTAAGGTAAATTACGACCATCCATCAACTATGAATCTTCTTAAGCGTCTGTGTCACATTTAGTAGAATACTTTGTTACATAGACACGGCAATTTGGTGGAGTATCCGCGTGTCGGAAGCATTTCGAACGCAAAACGCGCGGACACCCTTCAGATACTTCACTGTCCCGTGACCCGTGTCTATGTAACATAGGTAGAATATTCTCCCATTTTACCATTTTTGAGCTCCAGTTATTTTAACTGTAGAATTATATATATAGCTTTAAAGAGTAAGATCAATCTAACAAGCAAATAGTACAAACATAAACACCACAATCACAATAGATGCAAAACAAAAAGGAGTTTTCAAGTTCACATCAAGAAACTAAAAAAACACAAGCAAAACCTACATTATTACAACATAGGAACACAGATCAAATTTCTCAACTAACCAAAGAGATACCTTCTTATTAGTTAGTACACTAACTCATCAAATCTTGATTTCTCTACCGAAAATCCAGCTGCAAGGAACGGGGGCCACCTCCTTGGCCCTTGCATGGGCCCGCTCCTCCAACCTCCGAATCCTAGCTGGCAAACCACAAACATAATCCTGCGCCTTATTCCCCTCGCCGGAAAGTCCAGTCAGCTTCTCCACCTCCCATCTCCCCACCAAAAACTCCAAGATATCCGCATAGTCCTTAGCTGTATAAACTCCCAGCCTCTGTGCCACAGCAGAAAAATGCTCAAACAAATTATCATCTACGCCGTCGTACATTAGATGAGCTGGCATAGATATTTTCTTCCTCATCATATCAGCCAGGGACAAAACGGTCCCGTCTGGGTCGGTCTCGAACAGCTTCTCCACGATTTTCGTGTAGGCTGTTTCGTGGCGTTTTTCGTCCGCTGCGATCGTGCCGCATATCTGCGCGAGTTTCGAGTCACCGTGTGTCTTTGCATGCCTGGCGGTGTTGCCGTGGGAGACGAAGGTCGCTCTTTCTTGGAAGGAGGTGTAGATGAATCCGAGGTATGGGTTGTTTTCTGTACGAGGATCCTGTTTCATTTATTTTTTATTTTTTTAGATACGTGTACGGATGAGAAAGAAGTTAGAAACAAATCATAATACTGTATTAAGTTGATAAGAACATATCCAGAGATAAAAAATAAAGATTCAAAATTATTATTAAAAAAAAAAACTTACCATCCCCGAACCAATGAGGTACTGTATAGTTTTCTCGATCTGCCTCATATCAACTCTCCCCGAAAGATAAAGATACTTATTCAAAAGATCCCCATGCCTATTCTCTTCAGCGGTCCAAGCTCGATTCCAAATCGCCCACGGAGTAAGACTAGCACCAGTTTCATCTCTGACTCCATCGAGCGTATTTATCATAGTCTGATAAGTCGGCAGAGCTTCTTCGGTTATCATATCTCCCACCAAAACCACAAAATATTCATCAGGTATTTCTCTGCATCTCTCTCGGAGCTCCTCCACTTGGTCGTGAAACCCATCTGATGCGGGGTCCGGCAGAAAGTCGGTTGGCTGCCAGCATTTTTCAACTGGCTTGAGATGGATAAGAATATTCTCTTCTGCCCAATTGTGGAGGGAGTCGAAGATTTCCCGCTTCTCTGGCGGCATTGAGTGGGTGACTTGTACGTGCACTTCTCGTGGTGGGGTGAAGGGTTTCTTGATGTTTTCACTGCGTTTGGAGAAAATCGAGGTTGTTAGAGATAAAGTGATAAATTTTCTTGATTGATTTGAGGTTAAAGATGTCATAATCAAGAATGTCTTTTTAGGCAGTGATTCCTATTTCCTTGCAGTGGTTCCGAAATGGAATAGAACCCCGATTTTACATTATGGTAATTCTTTTTTCCGAATAGAAAACAACATTTGTGCAATTAGCTAAACGCGTTTTTCGACATTTATTTGTAGGTTGGTTAGGATTTTAATGTACTGAAGAAATAATGACATGACTCATGACAAGGTCATAGTACACTATGGTCTTAATTCAAGCAAGAAACATGCACTACTTCCAGATAAAAAAAAAAAAAAAAAAGGCAAGAAACATGACAAAATATACTAACCACCACCACTACCTTATGTACTGAACCGAAAAAAGCAAAAAAAAAGAAAGAAAGAAAAATTCGATGAAATAGGTACAAAATTGCTGAATGAAGGATGATTTAAGGCACTGTAAAACAAAATGATTCTAACCAACTTAATTGTCTATTAATAGAAAAGAAAAAAACAAATAGGTGTCTCATTACGAAAGATTCCACCTAATATTCATCAAAATTTTATTTGTTATATTATTTGAATTACAGCAATTCTTGATTAAATTACATCAATGTGTCAAACAAGTCCACATAGCTGCTGCTTCACCGCAATCGAAAAATGCATATTTTATTTTAATATAAAATAAAATAAAATAAAAAACATAACTTAGATGAAGCCAAGAAACAGTCAGAACCACTGAGGAAAGATCTCATACTATATTATAACATCATTAAAATAATAATAAGCCACCCGTGCTTAGATCTACACCAAGTAACATCTTTGTGGCTAGTAAAAAAACACACACAGACATAATAAATTAAATAAATTTGTGCATGCATCAATTAAATCAAGGGTTTTTTTTTAGCTGAAAACAGCATGAACATATGCAAATAATTAACATAATTAATGCATATAAGCATATGAAAGAACAAGAAAACAATGTTGCTTGAGATTCAGACCATGCAACTAGGTTTTTAGCATTCAAATGACTCACAAATTCACAAATTTCAATCATCAAGAAATGAAAGAAGGACCATATTTTAAATTTAATTTTTCATGCCCATTAAACCATTAATCATCAAGAAAATATTAATGAAAAAAAAAATCTGAAAGAATTGAAAAGGGAAACTCACGTTGGGGGAGAACGAAGAGTTGAAGCCATGGAAACTCTGTGAGATCTGTCCTGAGAACCAGGAAAAGAAGGGATCTTGTAGGGAAGGAAGCTAATCTTGAGTGCCATTTCTTTTATTGGTTTGATTGGGGAATTTTATCAAACAGGTTGTGCGCAAAGCCTGAAACTGGTGGGGAAGTGTTGCTGTTTGAGACGAAACGAGATAGAGAGAGAGAGAGAGAGAGAGAGAGAGAGGAGTGAAGGGTGAAGAGAGAGAAACGCACTTAAATACGGCAGTGGAGAGAGAGAAAAATCAAGAAACAGAGAGCAAAATCAGTGAATAATGCCCATGGTTTTGATGGGTACAACAGGTTTTTGAGATATAGCCACTTGGACAATTTCTGAAGGGGGTGGGGGTGGGGGGCGATGGTTTCTATGATTCTTGAATTTAGGGGGGGGCTCGGCGCTTCCAGCAAGGTACAATACCTTGATGCGTGGAGGGCATATTCTTATTCTTACCATATGATGTGAGTTTTTGGTTGTACTTTTGAAGGAAGTAGTAGCATTGTAAAAATCTATATAATATATAAAAGTTGAATTGCATAGCTAATTGATTGACATTTGGCAATTTTAATTGATGACATGTCCTCAATTTCATCCCAAGTGGCGAATTGATTGGTGGAAATAAATTATCAAAAAACATGTCATCATTTTCCAAAATTAAAGGTAATTAAATATATTTAATTATGTTATTAATATATTTATATCCTACCATTTATAAAACACTCTAATTATATCAACTTTCTTGAAAACTCTAAATAAATTTATTTTTTAATTTAATTTTATAATTAATTTAATTTGAATTTAGTTAAATTCGATTTAAAATCTTCCCTTATTATAATTGCATGATTGGTGGTGTTACGATTTTTTTTTAATTAATAAACTTGGATTTATTAAAAATATATTGCAGAATAAACTATTTAATATTATACATTTTACATGAACATGACTAGAGAATATGTATTTTTTTACTAATTTAATATTATATATTAATATTATCTGTAAAAAAGAGAGGTACATGTTTGAATTTACTATCTTGCGAAAATTGACACTATTTGTTATGCCATGTGTAGAGTAATGTACTCCCAATTATTTACCATGTTGAAAATTATACTACATGAATTTCATGTTATTATTTAAATAATTATTTTTCTTCAATGAATCCAGTGACAATAAATTTTACGATTGATTTAACTTTTTAAATTATATACTAATTAAAATACAAATCTTATCATGATTATACTAATAAATTGAATAACCTAAGTTAAGTTTAATCAATTTATAAATAAACGAATTGATTTTATATATTTCAAAATATAATAATTCTAAATCTTTGGTATTAAATTCGTCTATCCACTTTATTTAATGGCTAACATTAAGAATATCAATTGTTTTGTTTAAAATGTATAATGATCGTATATACTATATATTGTATTCCACTAATAAGTATTTCATTATAACTCTAATAAATATAATTAATTAAATATCTACAGCA